TGTTTGTGGGTGTGTGTGTGTGTGTGTGTGTGTGTGTGTGTGTGTGTGTGTGTGTGTGTGTGTGTGTGGCAAGGGGAACAGGCAGAAGAACTCCTAACTTGTTAACCCCTCTGGGCCCCAACAGCTCAATACAATCAAGGCAATGGGCAATTTTGTAACTACCCAGAAATTTAGGCATCTGGTGACTTTGGGTGCCCATAAGGTTAGACAACACATTAAGTGGTGGATTTATGAGTGGCAGTGACACCTAAACATTTTGCATATGTACTAAGTTGGGCAGATAAGTTTCCCTTGTGAATCAAAGCCTATTGCTAACACAGTATGTAATAATATAAGTAGAGATGGTCCTACTCTTAATCCCTTATTTTATAACCTATCCTGTGTATGCTTAACTTTACTCACCCTCAGGGAGTAAAGAAAGATAGAACCTCAAATGTATAGGTAAGCAATTGCAAGGGAGAGGTCTGGGGGTATTGTTGCTGCAACATTTCTTCACTCTGCAGTATGCTACTGACTGCACCATTCTATTAATTTACCAGTATTGCTGCAGTGAGATGCATCTGGTGCATACCTCAATGTTGAACATTTCAATAAAAAAAAAAAAGGAAAAATGATACCAAAACCCCATGAACCATTTGTCAGATCACTCCAAAATATTTTCCTTTTAATTAAGTGCAGAGATAAATTCATGGTTTCAACCATGTCAAAGGGGAACATAAGCTGTCAGTAGAAAAAAACTGTAAAACAGATTAGTGAAGAAATTATCTGTCATCGTATCCCAAGCAAGGAGAAATTAGGAAGTCAACTTAAAAATATCAGAGATGTCAGTAATCGCAAAAATTAAGATCATAAAAGCTGTTCACCAACTCTGTAGTTGTAGTTGAAAAGGAGAAGAAAGAAGAGGTTTATTTCAGGAAGTCCCTTGAATAATATTTTGCACTGGAAGAGTTATTTTCTTCTTGTTGATTGTACTATTTATTATTCAGGAAAATATGAAGACAGATGACAAAGATGGATTGTGGTCATTCAGAGTTCAGATGTTGGACAAGCTTACTTTACAGCATCTCTTCACATCCTCATATAATTTTGTGTCAGTATATCCAGAATGAAAACACATAGAAAAGGATCACACATTCCAGAAATACAATGACTCATGTATTTCCAAGTTAGTATTAAAATTAATCACTATCCAAACTTTTTGCTGTGATATATCTAAAGTACAAATTGTGGTATTCTGGCAGTACTTCCTCTGACTTGATACTGAACCAATGCCTTAACTCTGTGTTAGGAAAGCACTGTGCAGCTGGAGTTTCAATCTTTCCAGAGGGATGTGAAATAAATGCCCTTATGACTATTGTGGTTAATGTCCCTTTGTTCATTTTTCAAAAGCAGAAGTACTATCCTCTAATTTACATTTATTGTCCTAGACACATTTCAATATGTATAACTATGATGTATACTCATGCCTTTTATGTCTGACAAGATGATCTGGACTTGCACTAAACTTTTGTCATGTTGTCATGTGCTTCTCAGGAGTTGTGCTCATGGGTAGGGTAAGAAAGGAAGAAGCTGTGTGGGAGAGGTACACTACGTTTATTATCTACTATCTACATATACAGTCAGCATCTTCTGAAAGGATAATTTATCCTAATGTTGTACTTTCTTTTCTGTGCAACCTCTTCATACTGAGGAAGCCTGGCTTGACAAACTCTTGGATCTGGGGAGAATCACAGAAGTGCATGAGTACTAGTGTAATTTATGCAAATGTTAGAGCAGGGGTCGGCAGCACTTTTGGGCCAAGCACCAAAAACCCTGGAGTCTGGACTTCAAAGATGTTGGCGTGCCAGGGAGGGACAGTGGAGAAGCCACAAGGGGCCCGATCTTTGTCCTGGCAGTGCAGCCCCAGCCCTTCCCTGCCATGCTCCCTGAAGCACACATGTAGCTGTTGCTAGTAATGAGGTGGGCCAGGGCTCCAGATCCTGGTACAGCCACTTGCAGCCTCCCTGCCACCTGCTGCAGGCAGCCCAGGCTCTGTGGCCGGCAGCAACTGCCCAGAGCTCAGACCAGCTGTGGTATGCCAAGCAAAATGGCCTCATGTGACACACATGCTGGGTTGCCAACCCCTGCATTAGAGGAACCATGGATTCCAAGGACAAAATGACCGACTCATCCCAGATGTTCTAGCTTGTGAATATTCCATGAAAACATGGAGAACCAGAACCTTTCCACCAGAACTTCCTGCCTCTCCACCTCTCCCTGCTGAATTTTATGTTTTGGGGTGAAGCTTTAGGTCATTGGAAATGTCTACGTGTCATGCAGGACAAGAGGATTTCAGTACAACTTATAGATAAACTGAAAAACTATGACATAATGTGATATTGGTAAGAATAGGCCTGAACTGGAATAACTAGATCTAAACTCCCTTTAAGCTGTAGAAAGGAGGTATCCACGTTTGATTTATTAAAATAAATAAAGAAAATATCCCTTTTTTCTCAGTTATTTGATAATTCACTTGTTCCAGGAACTTCACAAAACATTGCAAAACAGGTTTCTGGAAACTTACTTCCTAGATCAGTTTGATAATACGTAAATCAGGAGCTTCTATCTGTAAAGCAGCTTACAGAACAGAAAGTTCCTTTTTTCAAGAATCAAGGTAGTATTTGTCCTAGATTAGACTATATGTCTTTTGAAAATGGCAGAAGTTTTTCAAAGGTTGTATGTTGCCTCACATGCATTGGGAAATTATACTGGCTAGGAATTTGCTGGAAAGGTTAACATATTTGAATTGCCCAAGGCTTTGGAAACCTTTTATCACTTGCAAAGCATCATAGATGATAGAAAGCATATAAGAATTCAGGCAATGGAAAAATCGAATGAGGACAATGTCTGAGACTGAAGTGCTCTTTAAACTACTTTTAATAAAAAACTTAGGGCCAGATCCTCAGCTGACTTCAGTGGCACTGATTTAAACCAGCTGAAAAATCAGTCATAATATACTGAAGCAATGAGGGTCTCTTACCAGAGTAGTCCTCTGTTTTTAAATAGGATTTTTTATAATCAGGTATATATACCTGAACGATATACCTGAATGATATCTATATGTTTGGGTTTTTTCTAGGTCATAGCACTTGATATGAAGTTAGGACAAAGGGCTTGATTCACCTTGAAATCATTGGAGCTATACCATTAAAAATGTAGTAATACCATGGTGAAGCAGGCCACATGATTGCTATTTGATATTTGAGATGGTTAATAGAGATTTGTTCAACTTTGTTAACTCAGTGGGTTAGGTCTGCAATAGAAAGTTCCTTCAGTTCTGGGTACCATTGCCAAAGTGCTTCTTTTTCAGGCTGCATTAACTTATGTTTGTATATCACATCCTCTTAGGTCCCGTTATATCAACTGGATATTGCACTCTGGTCATGTCTCTTCCACCCCCTCATATGTCACCAGCACATATCCTTTGCTAACACTTTTTTTTAAGTGTCCATTTTTTGTGTAGCTTTATAGCCTTTTTATAGTTTTTTTTATTACTGTAGTGATGCAAGATGGATTTAGTGAACCAGAATATACCAGTAGCCCATTGATCTGTTCAGGAACGCTAGGATTAGGTTGTTCTATCAGGCAAACCCCTAAAGTATCCCAGCACTGCATCTGCAAAGCTACCTTATACCACTGACATAGATTTATATCCATGTTCCCCATTTAAAAAAATGTTCTAAAGTGGGTTCCTGGAAGGTGCCTTCTATAGGGGGAATCATCCGTGCTGTTTATTATTGATACCATTGAAATGTAGATTTATAGGTAATCCAGTGAAAATGGTTCTCAAATCTAGTGATTGTGTTTATTCAAGGGTAAAGCCTGAACTTATTTGGAGGTATTATTTTTATAATAACACTTGTATTACTGAAAAAAGGAATTAACAAAAGCTATACAATGCATTTACATAGCCCCCATTACTGTACTATCTTGGAACCCTGCAGTCTTTAACATCTTTACCTTCTTAACCTACTTATGAGGTAGGAAAGCAGTATTACTACCATTTTAAAAAGGGGAGGGAGACAGAGAGTGCATCAACACGAGACACTAACTGCGCAGTAGCCTAATAATACTGTGCAGTAGTGCATCAGCACAAACAGTGCTAATACATTACTGTGCAGTATTATTAGTTTACTGAACAATAGCTTCACTAAAAAGGCGTTCACTAGTGCTACTGTTCAGTAACTCCAGTCACTGAGCATTTATTTAGTACTTGATTATTCAAGTACTAAATTAAATGTACGGTAACCACTGGGCATTAATGTGTAGATGCACCCAGAGAGAATTAAACTGCTTGATTACAGTTCTATGGGAAGCCTGTGGCAAAGCATGGAATTTAAACCAGCTTTTCTACATCACAGTTTAAAATCAGAACTACCGGACCTTTCTCACCCTTTCACACACATTATAACCAGGATTATAACACAACTGACTACCCTGAATTAAGGGGAACATAGAGATCTAGGGGGCAAGCTTGAGGATTGAACTCCTCTTTAAGTTTGTTCTCTGTTTTAGAGGTATGAGAGCACTTTTGTTTCTGTATAAAGTGTTTCTGTTCCGTTCTGTAATCACAAAAGAACATTTCCAAAGCTGTAAAGTTAGAAAAAAGAGAGTGGGTTTAGTAAAGTACACCACACATTGTTTCTATCGTGCAAGAATTGCTTAACCATAGCCCATTTCAGAAGCACAAGTTTTTACAAACCTTGGAAGTTATTTCAGGAGCCCAAGGACCTTGTGGACCTTGGACTTGCTCTCTGCTAACTCCTCAAGTGCAAAGCCACTAGGCAGATGGCTGGAAACATGTGTTTTTTGCATATTTATGTACTCGTGCAAACGTCCCAATGCAAACATTAACACTCAGGAGCGTTAGTGGATTTGAAACAATCCCTGGAAGAGCTGGGTTCCATAAAAAATTATTCTGACAGCTTATGACAGATATAATCCTACTCTACTTCCATGCCAAGTGCTTGGCTCCCTCAGGGGGAGCCGGATTCATCAAGCTAGGCTCCCTTCTATATCCACTCCTTCTGCCCCTCCAGACACTCTGCTCTGCACCACCCCTGCCCAGTGATGACCTCATTATTATTTTAATTGCTGTCGTTGTTTTAGGTGGGAAAGAAGCAGCAGTCCTGAAGGGAGAAAGAAAGTAAGAGACATTGATCTTTACTTTTTCAGGGGCAGAAATGAATAATGTGGGTTTGGATTGGTCCCTTCTCTTTCCAGACTAATACCTCAAAAACGACAGATATATGACATGGGGATCTTGCTGTTGGAGACGAACTTTCTTTCTACCCCTTCCCCCCTCCACATACCCTTTTGTCTGGTTAGAATGTGATATCCTCTAGGCAGTAAGTTTCTCTTTCTGCGTATGCATGTATACCACAGAGCACATCTGGCTTAATCTCTGTTGAGACCTCTGGATACTACTGTAATACAAATACTTATGTAGCCAAGGCTTTCTTACATCCTGGACATTCTGTACTTTTGCAACTGTTTATGTAGGCCACTAAAATTGGGTGCGTCTACACGTGCCCCTGACTGTACAGCCGGGACTGTGCAGTCCCGGTGGTGCATGGATCTTTTTCAACCCTACTGTGCAGTAGCTTGTTGCTATTGTGCAGTAGCAGCAGTGTCATGTTTAGTGCCTCCAATGCTACATCACCATAGCGATGAGCTACATTGCTGTAGTTTATCGCTATGGCAACATAGCATCTCATGTAGAACGCCCATTGAGTTGCAACTTAAGGCCCCAAATGTTTTTTCTGCTCTGGTTTGTAGAAATTATGAGGCAATGTAGGAACAAATGGTTTCAGTAGGTGAACTTTTTGTGTATCAGAGCTTCTTTGGTGGTGATCTTTTATGCAAAGCTAAAGCTCTGACCAGTTCCAAATAAATACAGTATATTTTTGTGCACAATTATGAGGCAAAGACTTTCAAAAATAATTCCTCATAGAGGTTTTTGAAGATGACTACTGGATAATAAATGCTATGATTATTCTTTGTTCACTGTCTTGTAGATTTTGTTTCTGGAAGGAATCCTCTCTGAATACTCTCTATGCAAAAAAAAAAATAATAATATGGAGCCACAAATAACATTTGTGTCACATTGATATTTCAATGTTTATTTGCTTATTATGTAGATAAAATATTATTAATTATATTAAAATCCAGCCAGTTTGAGATTTTGTTACATTTTGTTTAATTTGAAGTATTTAAATGTTTAACCTAAGTCTTTTCTTTTTTCTTTTGAATTATTATTATATTTGTCATTATAATTATTGCTTTGCTATTGTAACCCCAATTGTATAGGTGCAGGGAGATTTGTTCATTCATTGCCATAACTGAATTTGACCCAGTGTGCCTTATAGCAGTGGTTCTCAACACAAAGGATCCCCCACTAGATTTAAGGCACCCCTCAGAAAATGTCAGCTTTTAGCTTTCACTAATTTTGTTGACTACAGAAAAAAATAATAGCATAGCACTTCTCTTGCAAAGAACTCAGAAAAATCGTAACAGGTCAGAATGTTTTCGAGACTATGGACTCCTATCTGAAAACTCTGGCTTTATCTTGTGGATCATGTATTGGTGTTTGTACACATAACAGTGCTAATATTGAGCAGCAGCATGTAGTATCATTGAAAGGATTTAATGGCACACAAGCAAGGGTGCCGTGTCATCCTGGTTGAGTACCACTGTCTTAAAATATCATAAAAAGGACAACTGTTCTGAATTATTGAATTTGTTCCTTTGAAAGTATTTAATATGTTCCTTTTGGAGGGGAGGGAGAAATATGTGTAAAACTCCAACAAGAGGCATACTGACTACTCTGATACCAGTCACATATAATAGTCATAAATGTTGGGAATGGCCCCTATAGAGATGGTTCTAGATTAACCTTGAGTTAGATTTAGGATGCATTTTTGGATAAGGATGATGATTTTTATTTATTTGTGCTGTAATCATAGCTAGAGCCTCAATTTAGGGTCAAGGCTCCATTGTGCTAGACACAGGGTGCATCTATATGAGATGCTTACTGCACAGTAGCCTAATAACACTGTGCAATAGCATGCTGGGCAAAAACCATGCTGATATGCTATTGCACAGTGTTATTAGGCAACTGTGCAGTAAGTGTCACTAAAAAAACATTCGTTGGTATTACTGCGCAGTCCCACATGTTACTGAGCATTGAATTAGTACTTGGTTAACCAAGTACTAAATTTAATGTGCAGTAACTAGGGTGCATTAATGAACGTGTAGACATGCCCACAGGGTGTGTCGACACATGCATTAGAGCTGGGAGAAGGTTGAAGGGAAAACAAAGATGTCATGGGATCAACCCAGCCAGTACAGTACTCAAAGGCTGAGTTACAAGAAGAACAGACTTGCATCCAAATACCTTATCTGCTGCTAGACCACACTTTTGGATACATTTTGCAGTGTTTCCAGAGTGTAATAATTTAATGGTATAATGGTATTTGGAGCTAATCTTTTATTTAAGGAGAACAGGGAAGGGAGAAAGAGAAAAGGAAGTTCTGGTTGCTTTTTAGATAAAAATGTAGGTCTTGATTAAAATGTTGTTTTCTGAAATGCCCTATGAACAGCCTGAGAAGAATGGTAATAGTATTGTTAGAGACACTGGTGAATGAAGCCTGAATGAAGGCTGGATCCTCCAGTTGTAGGGGTATGACCCACGTGTTATAACATGGGAGACAAAACTTTCACTTGAAGGAATCATGTGGGAGAAATTCAGTAAGGGAATATTTGAGAAGATGTGCATTAAAACCAGCAGGTTTTAATGCATGAGTGGGTGTTCTGTACCAAAATATCTAAGGAGAAAACATGCGGCAGAATCATGGTTTAAATGAATGTTACAAAATAAGCTTAAGGAAGGGTATGAAAGCTTTTATACATCCCTCCCAACTGTACAGTTGGGCCAGCAGAAGACATCATACAGAAAAATCCTTGCCTCACAAAAAAGTTCTAACTTTTGCTTCTCATTAATAATATTTAATTTTGTATGTATAATATCTTAACTGGATAGAATTCACTTGCTTCTGTCTGATCTTGAAACTTGGGCCTCGCTTGCATTTGGATCAGAGACCAACTTGCAATTGCAGATGCCATAGATACAAGCCAAAGAGCTGCAGTTGAACACTTGGCAAACATCAGACTATAGCACTGGCAACATTTTATTTGGCTCTATTATTGCTGCTGAGTTGATCAATGGAATAAAAGGAAGGAACTTCTATAACTCCTGACTAGTCTTGCACTAGAGCTGCATAAGCTTGGGAAAGTCCCATCACCCAGTGAAGTCACTGATCTATACAAATGTTAATGGCCTTTAAGAGTCTTGTTTTGCAGTTGTAATAAGTATCGGGGTGTCACTCCAGAAAGATAATAGACTTCCTGAGACTCTAATAACAACACACACAAAACTATTAAGGATGATGGGGAAAACATTACTGATTATAATCTGTAAAGGGCGGGGGACAGTAAAGCCAAATGAGCAGGACTTAACTTGGCCTTAATGTTCTTTATTGCTTATCTGGTCCCCAACTAAAAAAATAGAGGGAGAAGGAAAGAGTTTTGAATAAAACTGAAATCTTGAATTATTGAGAGAGGATACTTTTTAATTAAAGGACAGTATTTTCACGGATCGTGCCCCTTTCTGGAAAAAGTGCTTTGGGACTCCCCAAGAAGCCTTATTCAGTCTCCCTCTCCTGAAGTACCCCCTGAAGCCAGCCCTGGTGTAGCTTCACAAGGGCCGAGCCTTGGCTTGACACCCCTGGCTCTTCTTTGGCTTCCCTGGTGATCTGTAGTACCTCCTCTTTTGAAGATGTCCTTCTTTTTAGTCAGCTCATGAGAAAGGGAGAGTTTTCTTCTTCAAAAAGGGTGGCAAGGGGTCAGAGTGCTGATGCCTCAAACAGCACTGCATACTGCTCCGCTCTAGACAAACAGTCTTTATTGTGCTACTACAGTTCCCTCTATCCTTCCTCAGACTCCACTCTGTCCTCCCTGGAACTACTCTCTTTTCTCTCCAGCTCTTTAGAGCCTCACTCATTCCCTCATGCAGACACCCACCCTTGCAACAAAACTATTACAAAACTATAATGTTAATCCAGGAACTAACACTCACCCACTCAAGTATCAATGAAGCATAAAGTTACGGGTAGCCAATCAGGGAGAAGTTTCTGTGACCTACTGCCATCTTCTCCTGGGGTGAAAATGGCACCTAAGTGTCCTATTTATTATTTACAACAAAACATGCTTACGCTGAGACCCCCAAAGTGTTCCCCGCAAGAACTGCAGGCGAGAACTCAGCCTACTTAGTCTTTTTCATCACAAGTATTTCTTTTGGGAGTATCATCAACTGCTTTCCTCCAGCACTCTGTTCCTAAAGGAGAATCATAAATCTTAAGGCCAGAAGAGATCATAAAGGCCATATAGTCTGACATCTTTCTTCACAAGGGGAGAATATGGCATAAACTTAAATGTAACAACATGAGCGGGCCACTTAGAGTTTCATAGGAAACAGGAAACATCCAGGACAACTAAAACCTGTTGGAAGGATTTCAATTTTTATCTAAGCCCTCAGCCAGGTTCTTGAACATGTTCTTAGCTTCAGACATTGATGTCTAGTGGGACTTGACTTCAGTGGGTCTACTCACATGCTTAAAGTTAGGGACATACTTAGGAACTTTGCCAAATTAGTCAATCTGGACTGGCAAGTATGGTCATTTTCTCATTAGTAACCTGGTTACTGCAGAGTTTTCCCAGCATAGGGGAAACTGAATTGTGTAAGTTTAAGTCTGTATATATGAAATACATTTAAATACACAAGATGGATGGTAAACATGACTTCTGTTTCTGACTAAATGGATACAAACAGTCAGGCATCCCCAATCCAAACAGCACATTCAGTAATATACCAGTAGAGTAGTTCAACAATGATGCTATTTAAAATATTTTGAAAAAGTATTATGATAGCAAATGATAAATAATACTAGATGTGTGAGCAGACAGAAATTGCTCTTGGAGCATCCCCAAGAGCAAAGGAAAGCAAAATTAATTAGAGTTTCAACTGCTAAGTGGCCATGGTTCCTAGTGCTATGCATTGCAAAACAGCATGTTTAGTGATGGGAATAAAGCCATGTGGTCCTAAAAGGGTGTAACACTAGGAGGTGCTTCCCCAGTGTACTGGAAAACTTGGAGAGGAATTCTGAGACTGCTTTCTCTTCCAAAACTCTTGTGTAGGGTGTGTAGCTATCTCTTCTCCGATGCAGATTGGGTTTAAGGGTGAGAGAGGAACTCAATTCTTAGTTCTAGAGCCGGTGTTATGCTGCTCTGGTCCCATTTCAAAGTGTTCTAAAGTATTATCACTGTGCTGATGACACTCCTTGTGATCATCCTTTTGCACTGAAATTACATGGTCTAATTCTTTCTCAGTATCTTACCCTTGAGGGGTGTGGATGAAAGGGAGCTATCTGGTTTAATCTAGACAGGACTAGAATGGCGCACATAGGTAGAAGGAAGTAGGTGCTTGTGTGAGTGTGTGTGTAGTGGGTGGACATGGATGCATATGTAGTTGCCCTTTCTCTTTTGTCAGATAGGTTTGCAAATGACGGGGCAGTAAAGGCCAAGAATCCTTTCTTTAATTCTCATTCCTTTCAGAGATGGATCCCACAATGGAGAGTTAGGCCTCTGTCATCTCTGGGTTGCACTGTTGTGATTCACTTAGCTGATAACCTGCTTGAAAGCCACTCTAAAACTTCGTCAAGAATAAATTATGTCAGCCCACTTGCTTAGCGGTGTTGAATGCTGGAGATCACGTTACACCTGCATTCTCTATCTGGAACAGATACCTATTTGCTTCCGAGTACTACTCGAAACTTACAAGGTTAGTTTTTATCTCCAGAAGCCTATTTTGTCTTATTCTTTATTACCTGAGCCATTTCCCTTTCCAGTACTATGATCTTGGTCAGTGAGATTAACTAACTAAGGCACTTAGTATGTGCATTTGAATAAAGGACTGAAGATAAGGACATCTTCAGTGGAGCATTTTCAGCCCTGGAACCTGTTTCCCCTGCTGATCTGCCAAAGCCTGTTTTTCAGCCTTCAGGGCTTAGAACAAAGGCCAGCCATTTAGTGAAGAATTTATTAGAGGATGCCTGCTAGGATACCTGAGAAATGTCAAAATGGGTTAGGCCTGATGTCCTGAGTGTAGGGAGTGCCAGAGGTCCTGCCTCCAATTTTTCTTAACAAAACGTGAATATGCCCTGACGTTTGGGTGGGGGTGTCACTATTAAGCTCAAAGGTCCACCTAGGCCGGTGA